AAATAAAAAGTTCTTGTATATCTAAAAGTCACTTTAAAACACAGTTTTAAAATCGCTGTTGTGAGAAAAGAGGGTGGGTCATCTTCTCACTTTGTCATAATGAAATCAAGAGAAATTTATTACTTTCTTTTAGTTTTTAACGCCTACATTTCTTTCGGCCAGTCTGCCTGCCAGCATTTGGCTTGTGAAAATGATAGAGGCCACGGTTTTTGGTGGATTCTTTTCAAATTGGATGTGAAGCATTGTGGTCACGAGAAGCGTTATCGATATTCAGCGTTCCGCGAAGTATGCTACTATATCAATAGTATGCTACTATATCAGAAAACGTTGTGTATGTGAAACAGGCTACAGCTTTTAACAAATTCTTTTCTACTTTATGGTCACGAGAGCACGAACTCTATAGATATTCTTTATTCCGTTCCAGAATTATATTCTTTGCTGAAAACCTTGTGAACGCAATCAAGACTATAATTTTTAGCTGATTTCTTTTTAGTCTCTTTCATCCAGAACAATATTCTACGAATATTAGTCTGGATGCGTTGTCACATTTCAGAAGAATAGGTCATTGGCTAGATTATCCAGTCTTTCACATTATCACAGACAAGGTCTAAGGGAGGTTACTAGTCCTAAACCAACATGTCGACGCCCATGAAATTAATTTAAGAATGCCATTCCCGAAAATCCATTTGATTGCATTGCCAGTTCAAAATCCAACACACTTAATTTTTTATTGTAAAATTTCTCTCTTCATGGGCCATATCTCTGTTTTTTTTAATCAACCCTTATTCGTCGTCACGATTCATGTTTATTTATACTCTCTAGAAAAAGTAGGCGATATTGAAATGCAAATACCTATGCAGGTTGCGATATGATAAATAGTCATGGACACTTGACATTCTTTGAGAGTATGTTCACAGATAAAGAACTTATCGCCCCAACAGAACCACTGAGCTGCACATACACGCAATAGCGCCATACACGTTGGATGGGTTCATTATCAAATTTGACACTTCAAGGAAGGGTTGATGAAAACTGCCGCGTGCTGGTTTATCTATCCATGTTAGCATTCCTATCGGTTCTTGCGTAAGATTTACTGTTTAGCGTATCTTTGCTTTAGTGTGTTACGTTTAATTTGATCGGGAAACGTGTTCGTCGACGTCAACGTCAACCGACAACACTGCAAGAATTGGCCGTGGCACTGCAAGAAGGTGGGTCAGATTGCACCAAATCGTGATTTGACGGTTGATTAGGAGTATGCCACGACGAATTGCTGACTGTCTGAGGATTGGTGGAGGAATTACTCATTATTAAGACAAAAATCAAAAACGTCAATTTTCACTTTTAACGGTGTATCTCTTTGCGAGTGAAATTGCGCCGTCAGATAAGCCGTCCATATGAAGCTGTTTATGTTTATGTGTAGGCAATTCGCCTGTTATTAACATACACTGGTTACCTCTAATAAAAACAGCAGTGCATTTCCACAGTTTTTAATTATTTTTGAATATCCCCTACTTTAATATAATAATGCAAGAATTGTGGGATTATCATTTATTGTGGCAAGGGACGCAACTCTTACTTGACTTGGCGAAAAATACTGGTTAATCAACCACATAAAAAACCAAACTCCCGGTTACGCATGGGCAATGGAACTTGGAGGGTCTGGGTGACCAAGACTAATTTCTTTTAAACATGGTGTGATGCACTTTGGCCTTTAGATATTCAGGAATCTGAGACGTCCAGTTCCGGACATAAACCCATTTTGCCGAAATATCAAATTTGTTCATCGTCAATGATTTCCTTTCGGATAAGCTGCTGTCGAAACATTTCTGCTTTGTGGGCGTTATTTCCACGCTTTGTGGGCGTATTTCCACGCATAAAATTCAACAAAAATACTTAGCAAAATGCTTGAAGTATTAGTGTTTTCGACTAAAATCGTCTATTTAGGACTGTCTGTTTTCAAGCCTAGCTAACTGTAGATAGATAGCCTAAGTTTAGTATGCTCACAATATCGAAGTCAATAGTGGGATCTAAGGCGTTATTTAATTTCCTTAAATGTTGTTACTGTTTCACCATAAAATGTTTAAAAATTAAATGAAATGGGCTTTTAGGTCCTACTGTTCAGCACCGACTGAGATAATGAACACGGGCATGTGTTATGAGGGACATTTTGCCCGAACAGCGGCCCTGCTGCCTACTCTAATATCGAATAGCAACTGTCAGGGGTTCTTTTGCATGCAGGCCAATGCGTACACCGGACCTCGGCTTTCCGTGCTGTCCATTGCCAGGCCCTCCTTCCTGCACTACGCCGGAAAATCCAGATGAACTTTCTCGGTCAATACAGGGATCGAACATGATACCTCTAGGTTAGCGAGCCAACGTCTTACTCACCGAACCACCGTGGCTAAATATAAAATACCGGATACATAGCTAATCGATCCTAAATGTAAAATAAATTTGCAACATTAATACCATGGTATATTGAGTTTAACTACGACGTGAAGTACAAAACGGTGAATGAACTATACAAACAGTAATAAAAAATAGATTAACATATTACAGTTTGCGTTGTTAAACTAAATCTGTTTATTTTGTGTCCATGCTACAGTGTAAAATAATTAATACTATTTAGTTCCGTCTATAATATTTGAATTAAACATAATGGATATCAAATAATATTGTGATGTAGTTAATGAGGCAAAACTGATAACAAATGGGATTTATTCATTTAATGCCAATGAAACTGTCACGTAAAGAATTCAGTGTCATGCAATGTGTCAAATGAGCTGTCCCAAATGACATGAATAGAGTTTAAAGTCCTACGTTTCTGGATCAACAGGGTTAAAGGGTTAATGTTGTAATGCTGTGAGGGATATTTTGAATTCTATCCGTCAAGGGTTCTTTGACGTGCACGCCAACGAGAACACGGGTCAACCTAGGATTTCCGTCGCTATGCAGGGCCCTTCCTTCTGCACCATTGATTAGAGAGGGAGAGAGAGAGAGGGGTATTTAACATCCACTCGACACAAACTAGGTCAATTCTATGTCAACAATTCGCTTGCGCGTTGCCGTCTTTAGCAGTGGGAGGAAACAGGAGGACCCGGAGAAACCCACGAGGTTGGACAGGCGACCATACCCGTTGTCACGTACAAGCGGAGAATCGAAACCACGCCAGTTGACTCAATGACAGACCTTATGATACAGCGCACACGTTCTAAGTGCTAATCATTCGGCCATCCAACTCCCAACCATTGATACGAGAAAGCAGGCCGGAAATTACAAAATAATGAACTTGCTCGGTCAATTCCAGATGGAATCAGGCACCACCACTTGCGTGAACCATCCCCACAGTAGGACCTTAAACCCCATCGTTCGTTCGTTCGTTCTAACAACCCCCCCCCACCCACCCCACCTAAAAAAAAAAACCCACCCACCCACCCCACCTAAAAAAAACCCAAAAACAAACAACAACATTTCATTTTATTTCATTTAATAGTGAGAGCTAATTATTTCGTTCTGATATCACCCCTCTCATCTCTTTCAGTGATAGTAGCGGCCAAACGATTATTTACTGCTGATCGGTTTGATGCTCGATAGCCTGGCTATATTCATGTCTTGATAAATATATCCATGATCTTGCTGAAATTACGAACTGTTCGTGACACATTTAAACAAATTTTAGGGTAAGGTATTAGGTCGTTCGCGAGGTGACAACAGTGGACATTTGTTGCTTAGCAACAAATCCCGTCCGAGTGGTAAACCAGCGAGCCTTAAATCCGCTGCGTGTAGAATTTATTTATTTATTTTCTTTGAACTCGTAAACACAGCATAATTCAGAGGCAAGGAATTAGACCCTTTCCTCTCTGTATGATTATTTCATTGGTCATTCTGTAAGATATAGCAAGCATTGCAATGAGATGAAGGCGGGGCAAGTTGAGGGGGCAGGGGGTATTTAGCGTTAATTAGCAACAAAAGCACAAAACGTTTCAACAATTAAACACATACAAATAAAAATAAATGGAGCTTTAAGTTTAACTTGCTACTGATATGCGCCAACCACACTAATGAAGACGAGCAGGGTGTTTGGTGGCCGAATGGTTAACGTGTGCGCCTTGGATCACAAGGTCTGTAATTGGCTTGGTTTTGATTTCCTGCTTGTACGTGACAAGGAGTAGGGTAGCCTGTCCAACGTCGGTTTTCTCCTGTCATGCGCTAGAGAATTATTGAAATTGAACCCATGTGTTAGTCCCGAAATGACCAAGTTTGTGTCGAGTGGACGTTAAACTCTGGCTAATAAAGATAGAGTGTGTGCTATAAGGATATTTTCTGCCTGAGCCATTATGGCCCTCAAAATAGATCTGTTATTTAACTTGAAGGGGGATTATGTATGATTAGATAAAGAGCTGACAGTTCTCGCTATAAGAGTTAATAGTTAAAAATAGATAATGAAAAGGGAATATGTTGACAATTTCAGTCAAATTACTTCGCTCTGAGACGAGTTATCGCCGAAACATACAGAGTAGCCTCGACTGTTATTGCTACCGTTGTTACCATAATGAACAGAGTCTCGATTATCCATTTTTACGTTAAATCATCAACCGCAAATCATATTTAAATCTATTGAAAATCTAGTGTATCCGATGTCATCGAGAGTTGATTATGGTCTTGGTAAGTTAATTAATAATTTCTATAACAGTTAAGGCATAAAGAAAGATCTGCCATGGGCAAATTTAGCTCTTGCATAATGCCTGTTTTATGTTTTCATAAATATAAAATAGATGAATTTTAAACTTACATATCAAGAAAGAAAAAAAAAGTTAGCATACCAAACAGAACACATACTGCGCAACACATACTGCACTACTATGGCATAAACAAATAATCTGTTTTCCAAATCAGGAAATGAATACAAATATATTCATAAAGCGACAACATGTTGTCGGATTTAATGATAACACAATATTACTTTCCACATATAAAATGATGCGAGGCTGGAATTGGTCTAAAAGAATTGCCTCTCAGCTACGAATATTCTCTATCAAATGTCAAACAGTTACCAGAAAATGGATAGACCACAAGTTAGACATATCGGCAGTTAATTATCAAAATATAAAACTATAAGAAGGTAAATATCAAAGTAGCTATATTTGTGAACGTTCTCAATAATCTAAAAATGGAAGCTGTTGTCCTAGAAAACGTGACCCATCACTCGTCATAGCTAAATGGAGCTTTGGTTCTGACATGGATCTACTGGAGAGAAAGAAGTTAACACGGTATCTCATTAACAAGCAGAATTGAATGTGCCACATCATGGTGAAAGGTAAACCATTGGGACTATATTTTGTATAAAGTGTGCTCATTTCAACGTTGACAACACGTTTGGACGAATGATGAATAAGAGAGATAGAAACCGGACTCAAAAAATAATAATCAATTGCCTCGAGTTATATCATAGTTAATAACAATGTACTACTATGTAATTAAATCAATCTAGTTGAATATCCTGCAGATATTCAATTCAAAATCGATTTAATTCTGTACATCATTTACAAAGATGCGATGAATTTGAAAATCCGCTGCGGTTTAACGTCCATTTCGGGATTAACATGGTTCAATTTTATTTCAATAATTCGCTTCTGCGTAGGGGTCTTTAGCAGTGGTAGGAAACCGGAGAACTCGGAGAAAACACGAAACACACGAGGAAGGGCAGGCAACCCTACTCCTTGTCACGTACAAGCGGGAATCGAAACCACGCCACTTGACTCAATGAGAGACCTTATATTGCAACGAACAGGCGTTAACCATTCGGCCACACTACCCCTTACCCCCCACCCACTGCAGACGATATGAACAAGCTAGGGTCACCTATACGTGTTGGGCGAAATAGGATTCCTTTTAATCGGATTGAATCAAAGCCGGGAGATTATCTATATCGGTTTAGTTTCTTAATTAAATGTTAAAAAATCGATTTGAGTCCATTTGTTTTTAGATCAAGTCGTTAGAATTGAGATATTATCCGAAAAATGCAAATGTCGTTCCGCGCCATTTGTTTCCTAGATACAAAATAAAACGTCACACATTTAAATGTATATATTATGACGATAAGTTCGGCTTCGCACCTTTATGTCTTTTAAATCTCATCTTTTCTGTAGTTTACAGGATTTTAAAATAGACTTGGCGATGAAAATGTGATGCTTGAGCACTATTTTATACACAGCAGACTAACAGTTTGATTTAGAATCCAGATTTGGGGAATATGATGCCAGCGAGGACATCGATTAGCCCACAATTTACTTCAAATTTATATATGTAAAATAATGTTAGTGGTTTAATGTATTCGTCGTGCACCATACACATGTCAATATAAATGACGCACAATGTTATTTATGAGACTATATATTGCAAGAAATCTATAAATTATATGAAACAGGACAAAATGGACCAATTCGAACATTACAGATACACAGATATTTGCATTAACGGCATAGATTTGTTTTCTTCGTGTAACACAATCGCCTGGGTTAGAACAGTATCAGTGTTTCAGTAGACGGTTAATACGAATACATATAGAAAGCGCCTCACACGTTGTAACTCTACTGGTTGAGATCTGGGATTAAGAAACTTCTGTATATCTACAGCTATTTATTTCAAACAGAAGGACTTCAAGTGTGTTTTATACAGAATTGAGTATATGAATACAGATTTGTGACGAGACAAATTTATTTCAAACTCTAGAAGTGAATTTTAGTGTACAGTACAGAATTAAGTTAGAACCGAGACTATTATTTTCAAACAGCAAAAGGACGCTAAGTGTGCATTGTACAGAATTGAGTATATGTATACAGATCTGAGACGAGACAAATTTATTTTAAACTGTAGAAGGACTTCAAGTGTAATTTTAGTATACAGTACAGAATTAAGTTAGAACCGAGACTTATTTTGATTCCAAACAGAAGAAGGACTTTGAGTATATATACGTATCTACTACAGAATTTAGTATATTCATTCAGATCTGAGACTACAAAAGTTGCGCGTATTCATAGCTACTTATTGCAGACAGTAGAAGGACATTAGTGTATCTAGTACCGAGTTGAGTATTTTAATTCTGATTCCAGACTAAGAAAGCTTCATAGCTATAGAAGTACTTCGAGTAGGTATATTTATTTGAACCAGTAGAAAGACATATATAGGTATATATATATAGAAGTTAATGTACTAATTCAGATCAATAGAGAATTGTGCCAGCGGTGAATTGAAACTGTGATTGGGAATAATAATCAACCCGATCATAACGTATATTATTCAGAGGAAACGCACGACAATTAACCGATTGCCTCTAACGGCTCGTTATTTATAACCGCTTCAAATACAATTGTCGCGCCTCACCGTGAAATCGCTTCATTGTTTTGAATCTGTCGTGGATTGAACATTATTGAAGCCGTGGTACTTGTAATATACCCATGAAATGGAGTAACAAGGGACAGGGAACCAACCTGCTTGCAAATTGGAACATGGATTTAATACAATTGAACATCGGTGGTAAAATATTTGTAACAACTCGATCAACATTATCAAGAATTCCGAACACAAAATTATCAGATCTAAAGGAAAGTTCTGTTCATTACCGAAGTGCCCACAAAGAATTTTTCTTTGATCGAGACCCCGAGGCCTTTGCGTGTATCCTGAATTATTACAGGACTTCCGAGTTACATTTGTCCCATAAACTCTGCGGAAATGCCATCCGAAGGGAATTGGAATTTTGGGGAATGGATATAAGCATAGTTTCAAGTTGTTGCTGGAAGCGCTTGTTCGAAGTTGACGAAGATGAAAAAGTTTTGAATAATTTAAAAGAAGGAATCGCGGATGAAAGTGGTCTGTTAGATAATAACAATTCTACTAAAAGTAAAAGACATCTTCTGAAACACAGAATCTGGTTACTGTTAGACAAGCCGAATTCATCAACCGCAGCTAAGGTAAGTTTATGAAGTGTTTAAACAGCGTTTAGTAATTGAACACGTTTTAAGAAAACACGGCAGCCGCGGTGACTCAGTGAGTAAGACGTTGTCTCGCTAGCCCGGAGGTTCCGTGTTCGGTCCCTGCGTTGGCCGAGAATGTTTATCTGGATTTTTCCTTGTCCGTGGGGTATATTCGTTCGGATGGGGCGAAAACCCAAGGTCCCGTGTAAACATTGGTGTGCGCGTTAAAGAACCCTTACCAGTCGGAATTGAAGATAAATAAGAGTAGGCCGTAGCACCGCTGTCCGGGCAAAAGTTCCCTCATAGTACACTGGATAGCGTGTGTCCGTCTTCATTAGCCCGGTCGAAGCAGATTAATAGGACGTTAAACCCCATTCGATTTTATTTCTATGAAAAACAATAATTTTAATCGGAGCTACTTTTCTACAATGATTCTCTTGTCGTGTTCTGGAGAATCATTGTAGTAACGTAGCTCCGATTACAATACAGTAATTTTTGTTCAAAGAACTGTTGTGTTTATTTTAAGTTTATGAGATCATTAATATAATTGCCATGTTATAAAAAGGGAAAGTGATTTAGTATCTCATCAACACTTGCGCAATTTTGAAATATAAAGATAGTTATTTTTGTATTTCCATGGCTACTTGTGCAATGTGAAGAAGGAGAATTTTGCCCGGACATTGGCATTTCCGCCCACTTTTATTCGAATTCTCACTATCAAGGATGCTTTAACATGTATCCAACGTGCACTCACTACCCCTGACAAGTGACGACCGGGTCTGAAAAATCTTGAAACCCGGAGACTCTTTATTTAAATTTAATTGAGCGAATGTAGATTTCATGCTGTTGTTTTAATGAATGATATTCGTTGTTTGTATTTTAAACCGAACTGAGTGCAATAAGGTGGACAAGTGCTGTTGATTTTAAAAATATCATTTGATTTTTTCAAATAAATCCATTTTTAGCAGATTTTCTTAACAACTTTGTATCATTTTATCATTTTTATCAAAGCATGTCAGTTTTAGTGTTCTGGTTTAAAAATATCCAAACATACTATTTTTGACAGATTTTATGAAATGAGACTGATCCACCTTATTGTACTAGCAGCCTAAATTGTGGAACAGCCACATCCTCTATAATCGTCTAGATTTTCATAGTTTAGATATGTCTTTAAAAAAAATAAAAACGATTTACAGACAAACAATCTGCCCATGGTGCCATAAAGTAGTTGATGGTTAAATTTATATTTTACAGTGTTTTATGAGTTAGATAATACAGTGTTTCATGAATTAGATAATACAGTGTTTCATGAGTTAGATAATGCAGTGTTTCATGAGTTAGATAATATAACGTTTCATGAGTTAGATAATACAGTGTTACATGAACTAGATAATACAATGTTTCATGAGTTAGATAATACAGTGTTTCACGAGTTAGATAATGCAATGTTTCACGAGTTAGATAATACAGTGTTTCATGGGTTAGATAATGCATTGTTTCATGAGTTAGATAATACCGTGTTTCATGAGTTAGATAATACAGTGTTTCATGAGTTAGATAATACAGTGTTTCATGGGTTAGATAATGCAATGTTTCATGAGTTAGATAATACCGTGTTTCATGAGTTAGATAATACAGTGTTTCATGAGTTAGATAATAGAGTGTTTCATGAGTTAGATAATAGAGTGTTTCATGAGTTAGATAAAACAGTGTTTCATGAGTTAGATAATACAGTGTTTCATGAGTTAGATGATACAATGTTTCATGGGTTAGATAAAACAGAGTTTCATGAGTATAACCATAGAAATATAAATTACCATTATAATTGCCACAAAATAACCAAATTATTCCGTTGACGATACCCAATATAGCACGCATAACCATAGAAATAAAAATTACCATTATTATTGTGACAAAATAACCAAATTATTCCGTTGGGGATACATTAACCACCCCACCCTTCCATACCTTTCCTATAGAATAACTGACTGTTTTATGCACTATTAGAAATGGCGTTGTAATCAATTTTCACATAGCATTAATTCCTTTTGTGTCTGTATTTTTTTATCCGCGTATAAATGCGCCTTTTTGCACCATTCTTTTAGATAATTGTTGCAATCACTTGTTTTTTTTTATTCTAGCGCCCTTTGTGAATCGTGTATTCTCATATAATTATGCATCTTTATTTTTTCTTTCTTTTAAATAATTGCCATTGCAATTAATTTTTTTTATATTCTAGTTCCCTTTGTTAATCGTTTATCCGCATAAAATACGCATTTTTGCGCCTTTTAAATATTGATCTAGAAATACAAATGTATGATTAATTCTAATATAATTATGTTACCTTGATCTAAAAAAATCGAACACCTTCCATATTTTTCATTCATAATACCGCTGTGTAGTTTTTAGTTTAGGTCAAAGTATATTGATCGCGGTTTGTATTATAACGATTAATTGAAAATCGTAATAGAAGTCAGTAACATAAAGAAGGAAAAACTAACACTTTCACGAAAAATTAACCCACTTTAGATTGAAAAGATATTGGATATCGATATACATATATAACGAAATGGCTAATTGTTATATATACCATTTCTTTCGGTAGCGTTAATATATTTTTTTATAAGGCAAAAAGTGATAGCGCTGAGGAAGAACATAATTATAGCCGTGTGTTTGACGTTGACACTGGCATGACTCTAATGACAAAATAATCCGCAGTATTCGCCAGACGGTAGAACTACTTAATGTCAATACATATAGGAGTAATTAAGAGAGAATAAGGTTAATGTAGAAACCCTATTTCCTGGTTCATACACTTTGAGCACTAAATCATGCCAGACTTCGAAACTGAACAAAATAGGGTTTAATGTTGGGTTCCCACTGTCGTGTGATGCATTACGATAGGATTGTCTCTATTGAGTTCACGATCTATACGCGCAGATACGTTCCGATACGGCCAACACGATTGTTACACTGAACTCAATATGTGATAAGACCTGATAGGATCACCACGATTACTCCAGAATTAAAACTACGATTTCAATTGTAGCACGAATTGTGATAGTGTGAACCTAACATTAGGTCCTAATTTTCTGCTCTGACTGGGATAATGAAGGCGGACGTACGCCATACGGAGCCGGTGGGGCCGATTGAATAACGCGTGCGTGTTGCATCATAAGGTCTGTCATTGAATCAAATGCCGTGGTTTCGACTCCCTGCTTGTACGTGACAAGGATTAGGGTCGTATGAAATGAAGTTGATCCATATATTAGTCCCGAAATGGAACTGGTTTGTGCGAGTGGACGTTAAACACCATTTCTCTCTATCTCTCGTACGCCACACAGTGCTTTGAGAGAAATTTGGCCCAGACAGCGGCTCTATGGCCTATTCTTATTTCGAAATCGATTATGTTCACGAGACCTCGGTTTTACTCCGCTGTGTTTAAAACGCGCCTTTTTCGTCTTCTAATCACCGGGTGGAGGGGTCTCAGAACTAGAATAGCCCCGGGCTTCTCTACACCTGTATCCGATACTGAGTGGAATAGGTATAAGTACGGGAAACCCTTTATGCATGTTCTCTTCGCATATATGCTCTTTTGGGGTCCATGTTCGTTCGTGGTGAAAGATGGGACCCATGTTCGTTGGCCGCTTCTTTCAGTAGACTAAACATGGTTTAACGTTCTACATTTCGGCACCGACTGGGCTAATTAAGACGGAAATACGCCATACAGTGTGCTATGGGGGACATTTTGCCCAGATCTGGGTTTTATGTCCCATTAGATGTTACCCCTGCAACACTGACACGGTGGTACCACGACGGAAAATCCCGATTAACTTTCTTAGCCAACACAGGGATCGAACACCGGGCCCCAGTTTCACAAAGCATTCTCATGGTTTAACGTTCTACATTTCTGCACCGACTGGGCTAATGAAGACGGAAATACGCCATACAGTGTGCTATGGGGGACATTTTGCCCAGATCTGGGTTTTATGTCCCATTAGATGTTACCCCTGCAACACTGACACGTTGGTACCACGACGGAAAATCCCGATTAACTTTCTTAGCCAACACAGGGATCGAACACCGGGCCCCAGTTTCACAAAGCATTCTCAGACTTAAGTTAAGAATTTACTCAACTTCAATCACTGTTTATGAAAAATATCTTTGATCCAGAAACACAAACATTTTCGCATAGTTTCTTATTCATGGATTTCAAACATTCAAACATTATATACCTCGTTGGCGTATATGCAAATACAATTTCAGAAATGCATAAATCAATATTGTGCTTCCGTAACAGGTTTAATTTAATCAATATAAATGAATTCCCAATAATGTTGAGAGTATACTCTTCCAAAAGTCGCCCAAATACATTAGTAATATTGTCCTTCCATAAGTATGTGTTCTAGTTTATTCATTCATAACCTTGTTGACAATATTGAATGAATGGATAAAATGGATGAATGAAATGAAGTTTTTCGTCCTAGTTTTCTGTTCCAACCTGCCAACTGTGTGACGCGTGACCTTCTCCATTAATCTTCTCCATTTCATTTCTTGATAAACCAAAGCCAGATATATTTTTTTTTATCTGTGCGAACCAACATCCAGATAAGTGCCCAGATGAGGTGTTGAGGTGAGGATACAAATATTCACGCCAATTAGATTATTTAGCAGAGAGTTTGGACAGAAAACATAATTCAAATTAACTTTTTATATGGCGAGATATGATAAAAATATTTCACATTTTAATAGTCACACCAATTAGATTATTTAGCAGAGAGTTTGGACAGAGAACATATTTCATACTAACCTTTAAACATATGGCGAGATATTTAAAAAATATTTCACATTTATATCTGGAAATGATTTGAAAATAAGAAAAAAATAACTACCATTCTCGTTTTATAGATGTGGGTGCGGCGTATCTGATCAGTTCGCGGATAATATATCATGTTTTGTTTTATTGATAAGGTCTGAAAAATTACATCTAGTCAATT